CCCCAAAACCCCAAAACCCCAAAACCCCTAAAATAGCCAACTATATTGAAAGCTTTCCTGATTTTTGTCAAATTTTGATGGAAAATAGCAAGATTTCAGAGGAGTTTAGTCAGTGGTGAGCAACTGAGCAAGGCTCACTCATTCACCAAATGCTTGAAGTAAATCTTAACCTGAAACCAAGGAAGATTAAAACACACTCAGATGTGGTGCTCAAGACAGGAACAGAGTCTATCCAAAAGTTTAAGGAGTCAAGATCAATTAATCTAGTAAATCCCAAAGCAGAGCCTGAAAAAATGAAGAAGAAGCTATCAGAGTTTCTTCAAGAAGATGAGATCCTCGATAACACCGTTCCATGAAATGAGCTTGATATGGGAAGCTTTATTTTCCAAAATCGAGAGTTTTCTCATGAGCCAATACAAAAGCTAAAGCAAGAATATGCACTAAAGAATGATGGGCTTCCGACACCAGTCGCTCCTGAAGAGTCTGCACAAGGAGAAAAGTATACTTTCACGAAGTACTACAATGATTTGGTCAACAAGAGGAAAATCAAGAGAGAAATTCCAGATTTTTACATTGGTGTTGACTTCTCTAAACTGAGAGAAGGTAAGAGAAGGATCATCAATGTTGAAATGATATCTGATACAGAGTTTGGAGTCACCCACACTTTTATGATAACTCAAGAATTAGTTGCCATTTTCAGAAAATATGAGGGAAGATTTGAGAGAGATTACAAAATGACAGTGATGGAGTTTAGACATTACCCAGAATTCCTTGTAGAAATCCAAGCATTCGCGAAGCCCAAAAATCTGATAGTGTATCCAGTGCCAGAGTTTGTTTTTGATTTGATGTCAAACCCAGTCCCATTCTCTAACGAATTAGTTGATAATTTTGTTGGGTATGATTACAGAAAGGATCTAGGAATGTTTCCTCTCACAGATGATCTGCCTCATAGTCTCCAAGAGTCCCTTTATAACTTCCAACTTGAAGGTATCAAATTCGGTATCGAACATCATGGGCGCTGATTGATTGGAGATGAGATGGGAGTCGGTAAAACCATCCAAGCTCTTGGAATAGCTTGCCTTTATAAAGAAGACTGGCCTCTACTCATAGTCGTCCCTTCATCTCTTAGATTTAACTGGAGAGATGAGATTCTAAAATGGCTAGATCACATTCTTCCTCATGAGATACAAATTATTTCAAGAGGTAACCAAGAGTTTGACCCTGGAGCAAAGATCTTTATCACTAGTTATGATCTGGCAACCTTAGATTCAGCATTTATCAGTTGCTGAGAGTTTAAAATAATAATTTGAGATGAAGCCCATTATTTGAAGAGTAGGAATTCTGATAGGTCCAAAAACCTCATCCCAATGTTAATGAAAGCAAAGAGAACCCTAGTTTTATCTGGAACACCCATGCTTCAGAGACCTATTGAGATTTATAATATTTTAAGAGTGGTCAGACCAGATATTTTCCACGATTTCGAACAATTTGGATACAGATATTGTGCCCCGAGAGAGACATATAGCGGTATCAGCTGGAATGGTTCCAGCAACATCAGAGAATTACACTACATTCTATCTAAAAAAGTAAGTTTTTGTGTTATAATAGCTATAGATCATGATCAGAAGACTCAAAGTTGATGTCCTAACAGAACTTCCCACTAAGACTAGGCAAAAGGTATATGTTTCCACTGAAATAGGATCAATGAAAAAGATCAATATGTTTGTGAAGAAAATTCAGACCTGGAGCAGCAGAATTCCTAAACTTAAAGAAAGAGATGATCCCTTTGCTTATATTACTGAAGAGTTTGAAAGACTTACTAAGAAAGGAGATTTACTCAATGACTCTACTCTTCATGCTCTGAGTGACATGAGATCATATCTGAGCGAAGCCTATGCTATTACAGGTCAGGCCAAAATGAAAGGAGTCATCGAATTTATGAACGGACTTATCGAAAATAAACAGAAATTCCTCATCTTTGGTCACCACTATGAAGTACTTGATGCTCTTGAAGATTATTGTATTAGAAATAGGCTAAATTATATCAGAATTGATGGAAGAGTTGATCAGCAGAATCGGTATAAGGCTGTTAAGAAGTACCAGACAGATCAGGAATGTTTAATAGCAATACTATCTCTGACAGCAAGTTCCCAAGGAATTACACTCACAGCTGCCAACACTGTAGTCTTTGCAGAGCTAATGTGGACTCCAGGAATTATGGTGCAAGCTGAGGATAGAGCTCATCGTATTGGACAAGTTAATACTGTAAATGTCTACTATCTTGTAGCAAGAAATACAGTTGATGATATGATTTATCCAAGACTTAAACTCAAATCTACTGTGATATCAAGTGCTCTTGACGGTAAGGAAAATCCGTTTATTCTCAGAAGGGATGGAGAAAAGCCTAGGGTCTATGATAAAGATAAGAAAGTAAAGGATCATTACATAAAAAGATTTAACAAGCTTTCTAAAAGTATCGATCCAACCGGAAAGGAGCAGTCAAACATCTCTGATTTCTTTTTCTCAAATGCTTATTCCAAAAATGACAAGAAGCCTAAGAAGATCGCTAAGGATGAAAATATAAAAGCTGAGGGGACTAAAGCTGATCCTTGAAAGACAGAAGCTCATAGATCCTCTACCAAATCAGAAAAATTCAAGGATGATTCTGAAATATTTATCAAAACCAACTATTCTTCTAAGGAAGAACTTCTGCCAGATGAAAAGGAGGAATACGAGAATCTTTCAGTTGGATCTTGTGATTCTGACCAAGAAATCAGTGAAATACCCGAGCCAACACTATTCTCAGAGTCAATAGCAGAAGATCATCTTGAGCAGAGCAATATAGTCGATGTCGAAAATGAATCATGGAGTGTGTATTCCAATCCAATGTGGGACGAATACCGCAAACTTCGGTTCCAAAGAAACAGGCTGATTTGGGACACACAAACTTTTGATAAGTTCACACCTGTTTGGAAGCAAATGCGAGGTAAGATCGGTCGACCTAAAGATCGTAAAAATATCACAATTGACGAACAAATATGCCATGATATGCTAGAAGCTGAGGAAGCTGAAAAGGAAATGCGTCTTCAAGAGCAAAGAGATTACGAAAGAAGAGAGACTGTGTTGAGAGAGAAAAATAAAGGAGTTAAACATAAACAAAAGGAAGCTCATAAGTTCATGGATATCTATGCAGCAGAGATTGAAGGCGGCAATGTATCTGCGTATTTAGGAGATTATCTCCAAACACGATCTATGGGAGTTAAAAGTGAAGCTCATTCATATTTTAAGCGTAAAAAGATTAATTAATTTACTAAATTTTGGGGTTTTGGGGTTTTGGGGTTTTGGGGTTTTGGGG